GCGGCGCACCGCTTCCACGCCCCAGATGGCATCACCCACGTAACTCAGGCGTTAGAAGTCCTGGACCAGCTGCTGACCGTGATGATTGGCATGACGAAGCCGGATGGCGAGGGTCAGCTGCACTTCCACTTGGACTTGAAGCCGGACAACATCATGGTCCGCACCGATGGCGGTAGCCGGGACGTGGAGGTCAAGCTCATTGACTACGGTATCGTGAGGACCTGTGCGGCTGATGACAAGCAAGGTCAAGAGGACTCTGAACAGCAGCTGTTCCGCTGGTTCGGCTGGGAGCTGCTGTGGGCGCTCTCTTCGGAGGCGTTCCGGGTCGACTCGGAGCAGAACCCTTGGGAGCAGCTTCCCGAGGGCTTCCGGCCCTTCTTCCAGCGATCCGATTTCCGGCCTGCAGCTTACCGGAGCGAGCAGCTGACGCCTGCCCTGCTGAAGGACGCCTTGCAGGACGGCTTCTTCGACCAGGTGATGTCCCCGGCTTTTCGGCAGCAGTGGCAAGCCCCGGCCCAGGCCAAGAAATGCCTCGGGAAGATCCTGGGCGACTTGTTCCACGGAGTCGCCCTGGCCAGTGACAGGGCCGGACCTGCCCCCAACTTCGACAAGCTTCGATCCGAGATCAGAGAACTGCGTGTGCTTGCCAGCGAGTGAGCAAGGCTCAACTACTAATAAAGATGGGACCCCATGCACCGGGCAACAACTGCCCTAATTAGCGATAGCTCAGTCTTATTGCTCGATGTATTTTGTGCCTGCTGAAGGCAGCACATGCAAGAAATTTGCAGGGCCGTAGCGCCTTTCACCTGCCCTTTGCGGGGCCAATAGACAATATATGTGGCCCATGCGGGCATGACTGGCATGTACAGGGTCTCAGGACAGCAGTCAGTTACCGTTTGTGGCACTTTTCCTGATGGAAAGTGCCAGTGTTTGCATTCAATTGTAATGCAAGGGTCCAAAGCCAGCGCAAGGTCGCAAGAAGTGGACCTCAGACAGTTGCAAAACAATTTTGGGAATGGCACATGAGGAAGTTTACATGTTTGTGTAATGAATACATCGAAGAACAAATGCCAGTTTGATGCTTCGTTTCAACAAGGCCTGCCCTTTATGTTCAAGAACTGTACAATGCCATGGTAGTGCAACAAGAAGGAATAAATCAAGAACGGTAACCTTTGACTTGATCAGGGTCACGTTTGTTGAAATCATAGCAACCCACAACCACCTTGCCAGCAAGCAGAGACAAGTCTTACTACAATTCAGCAGAAAAGGCAGGGAAAGATTCTGGAATACTACTGGACGACTGCAATCGCTGCCCTAATAATGAGTTCGCCCTCGTATTGGCAAGTATTTGCTATTTATCAACAAGGGGTGAGATGGGCTGCCCCAGAAGCAAACGTACTCATCCCTTGCACAAGGTTGCAGTACACACTTTGAAAGGGAACAGCTCTATGGCGCCCCCCCAATAAAACTAGGATCTGGTTTGGCAGGGAGTCAGCCAGCCAAGTATTGCTTCAGAATTGGCCTGTTCTAATTTGGGGGAAGACAGGCCTATGGAACGCGAAGACTGCTGGAGTCTTACAACAGACTACGGCAACAATAGAAAAACTACAGGAAAGTATCGAGAAGTTAGCTAGACGTAGAACATCTGAAAACTCTACACACCAATAAAGGAGGAAAACACACGATAACCGCGATATCAGGTAAGATCACTTTGCTAAGTCGTTTCTTTCTGCTTTCGTCCCATTTGATCAGTTCTTTAAATGAAAGTACATGTTCACCTTGTGCGCAGCCTTCCAGCCATATGGAAACGTTCTAGCGGCCAGATGCCCTTGCCATTTTGTGCACTGCTGTCTACCCGCCAGTGCGTGCTTGTGCTGTAGACAGACTCTCCAACAGTCGGCGTGCCCCGCCGGAATCCGGATGGCCTGCTTGTTGGTTTGTGTGTTTGTTTGTTTGTTTGTTTGTTTGTTTGTTTGTTTGTTTGTTTGTGGCGATGCATACTTTTGGCTGGCAAAACTTAAACACATAGATTCCATGCAACAACTTTGGCCATCGCGAGCGACCATGAAGACCTTGTAGTGACACTGCACTATGACTGCCTGAGGGCTAGGAAAAGGAAGCCACCAAACCTGTCCCTTTGGGAGAGTTTCGTTGCTGGTCCTTGACGGCTCATTCTTGGCTTGTGCATCGTAGAAAGTGCTCAATGCAAGTGATCCATGAACTACCCCATAGAAGTTATAATGTTGACAAAACATCCGGTACTCGACTAGTCATGTTGACTGTACATGCATCATAGTGATTTGTCAATGCCTGTGACTTGTAGCTACTGTACCCCAAATATAAGTATCACCTTGGCTTGGTGTTTAACGTATCATCCTGATCGCTCGCATCGTGAGGATATGTCAATGAGGGAAACCTTGAGCTTCCCATGAGTATCATGTTGACGAATCATCCGGCATGTGAACTGCTCATCTTGCAAGATGAGCAGGTGTGCGTATTCCTAGAGTTTGAAGCATTCTGAAACCGCAGGTTTCGCGGGGAGGCGCGGGTTGGGGGCATTCCTGGGCAGGTTTCGGGGAGGCGCTTCTGACCATCGCAGGCGATGCCTCGCTTGCGTTGGACCAGCTGGGCTCGGAGGCGCTGGGGGATGCAGGTCTGCGCTTGGCTGAGCGCCTGGCGGAGCGGTGCCGGTGCCATGGCTCAGAGCCCAGAACCACAGCTCCGGCGGGGGAAATCGGAGGAAAATTGGGTGGGGATCCCCACTTTCCTTGGGGATGTTCCCACAGATTTGTGTTTTTGGCTGTTCCTCACCCACACTTCCTGTTTGCGTCTATGTGTTTTCTCTTGACACTGTGTGTTTTAGGGTGCCCCCTGAAAGAGGGGTCTATGTCACATTCCTCCCCTGATGCGATTCAATTGTTGCAGTCGATGGAAACTGGACAAGTCAGCTTTGATTGACTACTGACGCCGACGTAGCTTCCCAGCCCACAAGCGTGAAGGATCGGCTTCCATTGATAGTCACGCAATTCTGTTCTTCTGAAATCAGGCCTTGCAAACGCATCTCCCAGATTGCTGTAGTTGGCTAACTATTCCTGGCAAGGGAAACATGCTGGCCATCGCAAGGCTCATGGGATGAAAGGGGAAGTATCAAGAAGTACGTAAAGTTGCCCTTACTGACAGCTCAGCTCGGACTTGTGTCACAAGGAATCCTTACAGGCCCATGATGACACAGTGTTTATTGTCTCCGTAACAGGCATGTTTGGCATAGGACTCTGGACATATAGACTAGTTTGTTCTTGGCTTTCTTGTAGAAGCAACCCGGAAAAATGAATGTGTGCAAAGCACCCCTACTTGCCCGCACCATCCACAGGTGCTCATCTAATGGCAATGCTTTTCGAGAACAGTACCCAATATTTGTATTTGTTTGCGTGTTCATACCTCATATGTAAATGCAATAATATGAGTCGACTTCACCACTATGATATATATATATATATGGTACATATATATATATATATATATAATACTCAGTATATACACGCATTTCCCCGAGGCAGCACGCCCGGCGCATCTTCAGTGCAGAGCTTCGGCTGGAGCAGGGGCTCTTGGCGCGCCTCCAGCGCCCGCCTGCCGCAGATTTGGCGCAGAACCCGCTGGGCGCTCAACGTGGCTACGGCTACTGGGCGCCGCACGTGGATCAGGCTGCTTGGTTTGGCTGGTTGTTTGCTTGCTTGGTTGGTTGGCTGGCTGGCTGTCTAGCGTGGTCAGCGGTTGGTGGCTGGTGTGACAACTTGTTTCTTGACGGTAAAGTACACCGGCACGTGTGGTGGGTTTAACACTTTGAGCCACTTTTGACTTGAGTTGCATCGAATGGGGTTGGTGATCCCTTGTAGAATCCGGAGCAGTGGCCCGGAGTCCGCGTTGGATGTTGTTTTGTCGGAACAAACACGTGTGTGTGTGTGTGTTGTCATTTAACAAAGTTTGGACCATGGAAACACATGGCGCACGGAACTGCACTACCCAATTTTTGAACGTTTTTAATGGCCGCGTTTTGTGGGACGGGTCGTCCAAGCACGCGCCGCAGGCGCTGCAGCTTGTTTGGGGCATCCGACATGGGGTGAAATACCACACTAGCCGGCAGCGTAGTGTTCCACTAGCAGAGGAGACGATGTTGGGTGCCTGCATGTAAAGTAGCTAGTCAAAGCTTGATATTTTGGGCACCAAGTGCTGAGCATTGCCTGATGTTGCCTATGTCAAGCCGGCTGTTAATGGGATCTCACCCATGCTGCAGGCCAACGTGAAGGACTATGACATCAGTGCAATCCTCTACTTGTCGACCTTTCAAGAGCATTTTAACGGAGGTGAGTTTGCATTCAACGACGAAGACGCGGACAGAATCGTCGAACCCCGGGCTGGTCGGCTTCTCCTGTTTGACTCGGGCCCTGAGAACCTTCATCAGGTTTGCCCGGTGACTGATGGACATCGGCTTGCGCTTTCTTTCTGGTTTCACCGAGTCTCGTAGGACGCGCGTGTTGACTTGCCAGCCAACATCAATTTGCCCATAGACCCACGGTCTGTTGGAAGCAGGAATGACTGCATCGCTTCTGGGAGAAGAGGCGTTGACAACTTCGGAAAAAGGGGCGTCGCCATGTCATTGTGAGGTGTGTTTGCGGTTCGGAATGGATCCTCACACATCTTAAACATTGCATGCATGCAAGACTGAACAACAGTTGCTGACATATTTTTCGCACAACAGAACCAACTGTGGGTAACCGTTCCCTAGACTCAGCGTTTGGGACTCTTGAGCACTGACTCGCCTGTCTTTTTTCAAGTTTGCCCAGTGGAATTTAGGGTGAATCTGTACACCCCGGCGACTATACACCTAGGAACATTTACAACCATGATAGCTGGCATTCAGTTCCTGCTGAAGGGTTCTTTGCAGGTTTCTAAGCTAGGCCCTTCCTGAAGACCCTTAGGCGCATAGAGTTGGGTCAACTCAGGCTGCACCATCAACTGGTTCCGCGAGTGGCCAGCAGAAGCGCTGTATTCCGTGGCCAAGCAGCAGCTCTCCGTGAACCAAGCCTGGGGCTGAAAGCCCCATGCACCTACCTTGACCTCACTATTTTTGTCGGGTTGCGAAAAATGGTAGGGGGGGTCCGAAAAGCGATCCCTGTGTTCTTGCACCCGGCCTTTGTTGGAGCCATACGTATAGAGTTGCTTCTTGCCGCTGGAAGTTTCCCTGAAAAAAAGAAACGATGGCCCCGAAACACAGACAAGGAGTGTGAGAAGCACAAGCGATGTGCTGCTCTAAAAGCTGAGGTCCAGCTGCCCAACTTCGAAGGCTCAGTGAAGCTGTTCCAGGCTGGGCGACCCATCCGGGCGTCCCAACAGGCCGATGGTTCTGGGTTGATGGTTTAAATGAAATAGGTTGTTTTTTTTGGCACCCTTGCTAATTGTTGGGCTGGTGTAAGGGAAGCTGCAACAGGAAGCCGCCCAAATTGTGGGCGCATACTTGACAAACCCAGAGGAGCAAAGGCCTACATCGCTGGGTGTGATTTCAATTGTTCGGGCATCTCTCGCAGGCCTGCGCTGGCTTGTTCCCGCCCGAGTCACCTCTCTTTGGAGTATCCTTTCGTTTGTCAAGGCAACTTCTTGATCCACAGTTCGTCGCAGCCCAACGCATGGTCACATGGTTGGCCAAATTCAGGTTCTCGTTCCCGTTTGTCAGAGTCCCATACTAAAACACTTTACCGTACCTACCCCACCGTGAACCAACACGTCAACCCGAATCTAGCTTTGTGGTTGAACCTTGTTCTTTCCAGGCCCGTTGACAACTGAAACATGAGACTTGTTGCTTGGTTGCATGGTAGATTAATCTCTTCCCACTAGGAATGAACACGGGCCCTCCCCCTCCAATAATACATTGTCCTGGTGGCCGAACGATATTAAATTTGCTACTATATAGGGTACCCCACAGGTTTCGCGACGGTTGGCGTCTAAACAGGGTCCCCCCTTTCTAGGCCGGAAGGATTTTAAACAGCTTATAAGTTGAATTTGCTGGTTTTGAATTGGAGCTTTGGCATTGGTCTAGTACTAGGTTCCAACATGTCCCCAAATAAGCGCGGAGTCGGGGTGAGCGGGATTGTTTTGCTGGTTTTAATTTGGTTTAGTATTGTCTAAGTCTCGTTCAATATTGCAAGATTTGGGGTCTTGGAAGAAACAAGAAGTACTGATAGAGTGCACGTATTACTCGGGGAAGAGCTTAGTCGGTCTCTTTAGGGCAGGTTGGTCGCCAGCCGAGGTGATGCACATGAGTGTGGAGACGGCCTCCAAACAATTCCTGGACCGCAATAAGCAGGGTTCCCGGCAGATCAAATTTTCAGGGCCATGTGAGCCGAAAAAGAAAACCCGTTGTATGTGTCGATGCAAGGCATGGTCCCAGTTGTTTTGGGCGTATCAAATCAGCTGCACCGCCGCTTTTAATTTGAAGGGCAGGAGTGTGTTGCAGGAGCGGCCGCGCAAGTCAAACATGGGGCTGCGCAAGTAAAGCGCAAGTGAAGCGCAAGTGATGCAGTGATGGTTCATCACCATGGCCCAAAGATTAACAAGTTTTCGCACAAGTCTCGCGCAAGTCGCGCGCAGCCAGAAGATGCCCCCAAACTGCTCGGAGCAGGAGTAGCCCATTTCTGTATTTTGCATTTGTTTTTGCAGATCCCGGCAATTTTGCCGAGTGAATTTGTTAGCAGACAATTTGCAGCGGTGTATACACATGGGCATGGACCTCATGCGTAGGAAGACCGCCGCTTGGATTTGCAATGAAAGCAACTTGGGAAAATAGTTTTAATACGTTGTTTTTTTTCCAGCTCATGTGTCGCCTCACCACCTCACAATACATGGAGTCAGGGACATGATGCATCAATTTAGACACATTAATCAGGGCCTGCTCGCTTTGCGATTGTCCAAATGCAGCTTGCTCGTTTTACTTTATTGCCTGCCTGCAAGGCTGGCGTACCATGACTGGTTTTGTCTTTCTTCTTCATTGGTGACTTTGAATGTCATCCTACCCTTTTGTTAAAGGCTTATTGCGGCGTTCTTGAGGTTTGTGAGCCTTCAGAATGCGCGCCCTTGTTTCACGCCAAGCCTGTCAAACGCAGGGTTCACCTTTTGCGAGTGCCCTTTGTAAATTGTGGCAGACGCCCAGGCGACATGTCTACATCACCCCTACCTCATATTTGGAGCTCCTCAACAGCTTCATCAATGTACTTTCGACGAAGCGAAAGCAGGCGCGCAACTCGAGAACCCAGGGGTTGTGTTTGTCTTTTCGAAGCCGCCCTCGAGTTTGACCCATCGACGTGCGGCTTGCGCTTCACGCTGCATGGAGAAAAAAAGCAAAAACGGGGCTGCAGGTGGGCACGCAGCAGAAGCGCTACAAGGCTGGTCGTCAGCACTGACCACTGCCCTTGTGACTCGTCCCAGCAGCAGTTCGACTTCAGAATTTGAGTGTATGACGATCACTCTTCCAGAGAAAACATGTGCCGTTTGTTGTGTTCATAGTATATGGGTGTGGTTTCTTGAGCGTACATTGTTTGATTGGTTTCAAGGAGACCAGCAGGAATCCGATATGGGAGTACACCTATTTTTGCACACCCATATGTGCAAGCCCGATGTGTGCAACCGGTTCTGGTTGTGTGCCTTTGCAGGTGGGCCTGGAGAAGATTGGTGACGCGGAAGCGCAGGCCATGGATGGAGTTGACCGGGGGTCTGTGAGTCGTGGATTCCGCAACAAATAGTTGCGTGTGTTTGTCAAAAGCCTTCTTGGTAAATGAACATTGTTGGTGGACATTCATGATCATGTAAATGATGTCTCCAAAAAGGGTTGCCCATGAATATGTGACAAATGTGTACCAATATTTGCGCGCAGCTGTCCGAAGTAGGAACTCTGTGCTGTGCCCCGGCACACGCCGGAAGGAACATTTCAAAAAGAAGCCGCATGTACGGTTAGCCGCAGGGTTTGTAATGCGCCAGCCGGGCCAGCCTTGTCGGTTCTTTGAAGAAGGGATCCACCCTCCAGCCCTCGGAGGATGCTTTGGCCACCAAGAGGCGCTTGTCGGACGGAGGTGAGTGGCCTGCAACAGACCCTGGTGGAGTACAGCACTCAAATATCACACTGTGTGCGTGTCCAGACATCCAAAGCACCAAGGAAAAAACCTGTCTTGGAGAAGACGCAGAAGGAAGTGGAAGAGATGATGAAGGCCTGGGTGTTGATACCGCACCAGCATACATGAGTGAGTCCTTGCATGTGGCTGCCGCTTGGGTCAGTAAAAGCAGTGCTTCTACGTTGGCTCCTTTGCTGCGAGGTGATTGAAGTTGACAAAGCTGCAGCACAGGAAGTATCTACCAAGGTTGCCAAAGAAGAAGCTGAGGCACTGTGAAGCTTTGTGCACCGTTTTGCAACTCTTTTTGTTTAATGCGCCGGTGCTCCAGGCCAAAGCTAAGGCGCAAGCCACTCAAGCCATCAAGGCCGGCAAGCTGTTGCAACTTTGAGACTGTGTTTGATCAGTTTGCGTGAAGAAAACATTTTGCAAAGTATGGAAGCATCATGTTCCGTTTGGCGTGTGATGTCGCTATTTGTTTCGACATTCCACTGGCATGTTTGCTACGTTTCTGCTGGGCAATGCACATTGAATCAACGGCCCTGAACTGAAGGATACAGTACAACTGGTGTTCTGGACTGGCCTTTTGTGTGTTCGCTATTGGTGTTTGTGATATATCAGTGTTCGGAATTCTGTATAATCCTGCTGTCCCAAACCCGGCAAGCATGCAAGATATTCCGCGTGGTGAGAAGCATGAGACGCCTGCATTCAACGCCTGCCTATCTCATTCAGATGAGTAATACTTTCAACAGCACATTGCACAATTACATCACGCATGCATCGTACCATCTTCGAACGTTTGTACAGGCGGATTTCTGATCGCTCACAAAATGATATGACATTAGCTGTACATGCTAAGTACTATGATATGTATATATGTCGGAATCGGGTGGCTTGTTGACATGTGGTGCATGGGGTTTCGGAGGATGACGCCCAGAAGGACTTGGACGAAGCACTGCCCGCCTTGGACACCGCCGTGAGGACCTGAAACACAAAGCAACGGATCGACTAGGTTGGATAAATTTGCCAAACCAACGCTAACCAATGCTCCCGGATGAAACGAAGCCCAAAGAGGTTGCTTAAGCCACTAGTTTAAACATGCTGGAACAAGGGGTTAAAGGGGGTGGCCCAACCTTGACTGATAACTCAGGGCTTCATCGTTTGAGGTTTGACAAACGCAAACATGTGGTTTGACTAAATGGGGCGTGATGTCATGTTGCGCCCCCTCGAAAGCGTGGCTTCGGCTTGAAGACTGATCACCAGCCTTTCTAGTTGTAGCCAATGAAACTAAGCAACAAGGGTCAATCGAGCCGCATCTGGAAGCTTACCTTGATATGAAATCCACATGTCAAATCCCAAGAAATCGCAGAGGGACTATCTTTGATTGGGCACCATTCTGATGTGAATGTATTCTTTTCTGATCCAGCGAAGTACGCAGTCCCAGCAGAGCCACCGTTCCAAATACCCGGCATGAGGTCGCCTGCCTGAAGAAGCTGAAAGCGGATCACATCCGCGAGGCCTCAGCGATCTCTTGGGAACGGGCAGCTTGTGTTGGCGCCTTCGCAACCACCTTGCATGTGCAGAGTACCCAGAATGCAACTGCCAATACGAGTACCATGCCAAGTGACTGCAACAATTTGGAGAAGTCTGGAGAAGCCAATGAGCAGGAAAACGCAAAAAATCCTGGATTGGGGATGGAGATGCCAGCATGCCTCACTGGAAGCGAGTATCCAGGTTTGGCTGATGAGGGGGGCCCTGCTTTTCGTAGGATACTCAACGGAGCAGGATCGTGCAAGCTCTTCTGGTGTGTACGGTTGATCCTTTTCGGTCATACTCCATCCTCGATATTTGTTTTGCATTTGCAAGCGCCGCTCCCACTTCGGCTGCAGGTCATTTGGCAGTTTGCTTGGTTGAAGAACACTAGTTGGAGAGCCTTCAGTCTAAGACCGCTTGGCCAGGTCAAGGTGCTTCCGAATCCTCCGGCGGGTGTGCGCCTTGCATGTGAGGCGGTGTGTGTCATGCCGCAGCCTCAACTGAAGGAAGAAGTTGGTGCTGGAAACGAAGCCTTACCCTTACGACTACCCGTTTGATTCTCGTTTGATTGATGCATTGATTGGAAATTTGACTTGCATGGTTTGCCGTTGTTGTGTTCGGCACCGTTTGCTTGCCCAGCCCTAATTTGGTTGCTGTTTGGTTTACCTCATGTTATAATAATGATTTGCGAACCAACGTGTTCATTGAACTCATCGCATAGTTTTCATTTATAGCCTTTCAATAAGCAATGTTGTCACCCAGCCAATGAGAAAGATATGCGTACAGTGTAAATAAGGTTTGGATTCAGACCCTAGGTTCATTAACCCGTTTTTGACGAGGGGTCCCATCGCGGGCGGCTATTGTTGACAGGCGCCCATTCACCTTGAGTAGGGTTGCACCGGTCGCGCTTCCAAGTGGCACAAAGGAGAACAGCCACCATAGAGGTGAGCAGTTGCATCGATTCCTGGATCACAACATTTCTGATGTCAGACCCGGGGTATGTCTTTTCAGGCTTGGGGTTGCTTTGAGGAGTGGATGAAACAAACACCAGTGTGCTCCGCATTGTGCACGTATCCATTCGCTTAGTCATCCCCATTAGAGAGAGAGAGAGAGCGATACCAAGCACCGATATTATGATGCAGGAGGGGTTGGTTATGCCTCTTTTTTTCGGTAATTGGACATTTTGTTATGACTTATCAGTGGAGATCCTCATTGTCACAGCTTCTGAATACTTGCAGACGTTCCGAGGTTCCAGCTGAAGCCGGCGCCGTGCTTATGTGCATGTATTTGCCAGAGGCCGCATGTGATTAGCGTGCAAAGCCTGAGTGTTGTTTTTGGCGGTGAAGTTTTTGAAGGATCCTACTGCTGACTTGATTGAGATGGTTAGACGGGCAAACAGACATATCGCTGACAATGTTCACAAAACAAGACATTACATTGACGTGTTTTGAGCGCTGTGCCCATGCGGACATTGATATGCTGCTGGGCAGGAGCGAACCTGTGCGAGCCAACGGGCTGGCGAAAAACAGCCGTGAGAGAGTTGGCGCGGTTGTCTGAGGTGAAAAAGAATGACCCGAATACGCCTGGCAAAAAGATTGACGACTTTTGGGAGACCAGCCAAAAGGCGGGCCTTACGACAGTCTGATAGAACTTGATAGGGCTTGTGAATTTTGGCAGACAAGTTGTGTTGGCTTGTAGATTTGTCAAGTAATATGTTTGTTGGTTTTTCTTGGGAGTGGCAACCCTGAAACGTCCCAAGATCAGGAAACCCTTAGTTGGTGGTTTGGATTGGTGGTTTGGAGATTTGAACTTCCGGATTGTTTGTAGAGGGCAATTGGGAAACATTGCGAAACCCCCAAACCGCCAATCCAAACCTCTGGTTAGAGAGAGGCTGACAAGACCCGCACGGGAAACCTGTGGCTCGTTGGCTTCCCCGGAGCGCAGGAGATCCTGCAGGATGCCAAAGCGCTGCTGGACAGACTCTTCAACTTCGACAAGGACAATATCCCGGACAAAGTCATCCAGGCCGGGCTTTTCCAGAGGACATGGCACAACATGTCTGTGTTTGTTTGTTTTTGGTCTTGTTTCGGGGGAACCTTTTTTTGGGGTTGAAGGGAAAATGAAAGGGAAACTAGCTTGTTTGCAGGGGGGAGGATTGCCCTGCTATCCAGGCTGGCCTTTCCCAAGAATGTGTTTGTGTTGGTGAGGTGGTGGGTTTGGGTGGTTGCCCCAAGGGGGATGTGAAATGCCCGTGACTGGAACATACTGTATTGCTTGGTGGCCTTTCTGAAAGTGACCACCCTGTTCGTGCGTCCTTGGTTTTGGCAAGCCAGCAAGTGGGTACAAAGAGTGTGCTCTTCATGTCGAACCCCGGTTTGCTGGCGCTGTTATCAGCTTGGCTTTGGTTTGGTGGTTTAAGCAGAGTGGGAGGATCTCTTGCTCGGATTCCCAAAAGCAATGTGTACAATCATGTGTAACCGGTGAAGCGAACAGGTCGACATTTGTTTCCTGTTTCAGGTAGGTTTGGATGTTTCTTCTTGATAGGCACCATGCACTATACTCTACTTATTCCGCCTACCCGGAATACTGCGGCAGCTCTTGGTTTTGCTGTTTTCTTGAGCGGTTGGTAAAAGGGGTAAGTCGTAAGTGTCCTTGACAAACTGAGCTTGGGACGGGTCTTGTCAGCCAAACCCTCCAAGGATTATACATCTTCCATCATGTTCCTGGTTTGTAAGCGTTGTGTCCACCGTATTCCAGCGGAGAACGTCGCAGACCATCACGCCGTACATGGAGCGCGAAGACTTCGACCCGGCAGCGATCAAGAAGGCACCAGCCGAGCGCGTGGTCAACGCAGCTACAGATGGCGCGGATGGTCCATTTCCGCGTTTGTTTTCGACGGAGCAGCAAAATGAAAGTTCAGTTGGTTGGCATACTCCCATGAAGGTCCGCACTGCCAAAGATTACACATGAGAATTGACCTGGGCGCCAATACAGCACATCACAGGTTTGGTCAGCAGAGCTGCCTGCCTGCCTGCCTGCCTGCCTGCCTGCGCTGCCTGCCTGCCTGCCTGCCGGCCAGCCGGCCTGCCTGCCTGGTGAGACGTTGCCGTCAAGCAATATGCCTTTCCAAATCGGTTTATGACTTCTTCGAGAGCAATGTTCAATATTTACTATTATCCACTGTCAGGAGAAAAATAATGGGGACATTTCCCAAAGTGCCACTGCGAAATTGAGCTTCTTCGCCAAAGTCATTGGGGCATACGAGAAATATTGATCGTCTCTCATACATCTACCACAGTATCTCCATTTGGCTGGAAAAATCCGAATGACTTGAACCTTCTCAAATGCCAAGAGTTTCTTGGGTTTCCCTTCAAATCCTGAAACACCAGCGGTTTAAGTCCTTCGGCTCAAGTTAGATTTTTTGAGCCTTTCCCGGTCATCATCTTTGACCGGATCTATGGGGACAACCAACACGGAGGTGGAGGTCGTTTGGGCGTTCGGCCGTTCCGTCATTTGCAACCTCAGCTTATCTTCGAAGAGTACCATTCGGGAGTTGAAGACAAACATTTCCGAACATGCGCAGGTGCCTGTGAGGTTTCTGGCTGTGATGTGTGAAGACATTGTGGCGACGGATATTCAGAGACTCGATGACTTTGGAGATGCAGACCTGCAGATGCAGGTGCTTCGCAAAAAGCCCGCCGAGTTGCTGAGCATTGTCAGAGAATGGCACCGTCGCGACTGGTATAAGTATCATGACCGTTTTGCAGTGCACAGCGCTGTTGCATGCTGCGACTTGCCAATCCTGGAATACATCATTGCCACGGATGTTGATGCCCGTCTTGTGAATGAGATGGATGAGGAATGGCCAAACGAAGAAGCTGATGTTTGGGCGGGCTTTGAAGTTCACCGAAATTGCACAGTTTTGCACTATGCAGCACTCCTGCGGGATGCAAATCTTTGCAAACTTATCCTCGATCATCCGGGATTCCAGGGAGCCAACGCCAGTTGTGCAAGCACCAACAGATGTTATAAGGGTACGGCCTTGCACATCGCATGTGACATAGGAGTTAAGGATGTTTGTGTGCTGTTGCTGCGGCATCCTCAGTTTACAGCAGTTTGGGACCGGGACTGCATAGGTCGAACCGCTCTGGGCTGTGCGATGTATGCAGGACATCACGAAGTTGTAGCTGCTTTTTTGGACCAAGATCCGAAGTCCCACCACTACGCTCTGGACCGCGCCGTGGAGTCCTATGACGTTTGTCAGAATTTGTATGGACGACCATCTCCTGAGATGCAGAAAATGTTGGTGCAGAGGTGTGTGAAGTCCATGTCTCACCTTTCACCGGTGGCAAATGCTTTTCTGAGGCAGCCTGAGAACCGGAAATTCCTCCAGGAATCCCTGAAGCACTGCGGCAGGCTATTGGCTGGTGTTCATTTGGGCAAAGGTCATTTGGATCTAGAACAGGCGGTGCTCAACCGATTCGACCAAAGCACAAAGGATGAACTTGCACATCACCGCTATGTGAAACTGCAAAGACGAAGGCGGTTCGCTGCCAAAGCTAGTGAAGAGAATGGGAAGCGGATGTGGAGGTCCAAGGCTCCGAGGATCAAACATGCAGTTTCCACCGATTATTTGGAAGATTGACCGCAAGCACAGATTGATGAATGTGTGGAAGATGAACGCTTGGGCCCCTTTCAGTGTGCCGATGCTTGCAAAGCTTGTCATGGCTTCTGCGAGTGTACAGAGGCGTTTGTTCGGGACAAGGGCGTGGAAAAGCAAATACATAGTATGTATATATATATATATAGTTATGTGTATGTGTGGATGATGAACGCTTGCGTCACTTTGTGTAGTGTGCCGATGCTTGCAAAGCTTGTCAGCTTGTCATGGCTTTTGCGAGTGTACAGAGCGTGTTTCCTGAACATGGGCGTGGAAAGACAAATATGAATGCGTGGAAGACGAACGCTTGGGTCCCTTTGTGTAGTGTGCCGATGCTTGCAAAGCTTATCATGGCTTCTGCCAATGTACAGAGCGTTTTGCGGCACGGGCGTGCATATATATATATATACATATATATATATATATGTATATATAAATGTGTGGAAGACGAACGCTTGGGTCCCTTTGTGTAGTGTGCCGATGCTTGCAAAGCTTGTCATGGCTTCTGCAAATGTACAGAGTGTTGTACAGAGTGTTTTTCGTGACATGGGTGTGAACAAAGCAAACAGTCGTTTTCGCAGATAGCTGTACATGCGCTCACCTGCACCTCTATGCTGTTGTTGGATAGCAGATACAGTGTCGCTGTGAGTCGTTTTTCGTGTGCACCTTACACTCGCATAGCGAGCTCATTCCTGGCAAGCGGTCTTCAGCCCAAGTGACCGATTGCCAACAGCCCAATGGCTGTTTATCATTGTTTCGCTTCAAAGACCATCTAACAGCCCCCCGCCCCACAGAGCCTGCCTTTTCCCGTTCCCAAGCATTACCGGTGTCCAAAAAACATCCCATGGGCTTGGAGCGAGGAATGAACTTTCTGTCCCCAGCCTCAGGGCCTCAACTCCAATGGACGGGCTCAAATTGGTCAGCATCCCCAGCCAAACATTTCAGGCCTCGGTGGCCTGTGAAGCGCTGTGCCTGTGGGTGGGCGCCATGTACAAGTACCACTTCGTGGCCAAGGTGGGTGTGCTCATAGCATCCAACTCTCGGCCATAAACCTCCTCTTCCAAATGAATCCAAAGGTCTTAGGGTCCAATTGAGCTGTTGTGCCACAAAAAGGCAGAAGGCGCGCCCTGTGCAAACGGGGTGGCGGAGGTCAACCGTGGAGGGTCTGGGAGTTGGACAGTCCTTACACAAGGCTCGAGGGGCCCTGTTCTTCTCAACAAGTACTTTACTTTCTCAGGGAAGCTAGGCCCGGAAAGATTGGGACAGCCGGCCGAACGCTGCATCGAGGTATGTCTTGATTCGGATATTTCTGGGGAGAGGACGTGGTGAGTCCTTGGGCAAAGCCAGGCAAAAGAAGCTGGAATCAAGATCCAATTCGGCAGCGTTGTTATTGGAGCAGAGGTCAGATTGCAAACACATCCAATCAGTTTCCTCTGTGCAAATCAGCTGAAATGCTTGCAAAACCGCCTGTGTTGCCATGCCGTTTTGCAAATGGTTTGTCTCAGCCCCAAAATGGATGGTTTCCCCTGGATTGCCAAAGAGGCTTTCCCGCATAGAGGGGATTCCCAAGGTGGCACAACTTGGCAAAACGCCTGAAGGAGAGGGTGCAATGCGGACATGCTGTGCCCGTTTCGTTTCACCGCAACAGCCTGGCAGGGCAAAGGACGGCGTCAGGTGATGTGCCAAGGCGAACAGTTCCTAAGTTCCTGCGCCAGGCAGTGGAGCCAAAGCGGCAGCTCCTCCGTGAGGCGGGGGGCCAAGGTTGATACGTGGCTTGGGACATGGGCGCTGACTTTCCTATTTTGGGTCCCCAATTTTTCAGGCCCTAGTTTTTAATATGGCAAGGGGATTCCACATTCATGGCGGGGGCCGCTGCTTGATCCTTTTGATGCAATTCCCATGGTTTCTCTTGGTGGGAAAACGGGAGAAACCATAACCAGGAAGGGCCCTCGTGATTTCCATTGATGTGCTCTTCAGGCTTGTTTCCCCGAGCAACTATTTGGTCATCTCAATCCCATGTCAGCAGTAAAGAGTATTGTGATCTATGCAGTGCCTGCCTTAGGCAGAAGCTGACCTTGCAGAATGCATGGCCAAGCTCGAGGCAGGGAAGCCGAAAGCTCGCTCGACTCGCTGCACCTTTTGACTTGACCCCCAATTTCTCGGCTGCTGCAAAAGCAAAGCATTGAGATGCATTGAGGCAGCGCAAGAAGCCTTGCGGGAAGTGCACGACAAGATCAAGAAGCTGGAAGCAGAACCTTGGCTGCCAGGGATTCTTTGGCTTTGACAGCAACGCGGGATGAGCTTTTGGACTTGGATCCTTTGCGTGAGGTTTCCCTCGACATGTCCGATAATCAATTTCCAAAGGCTAGCCATGCGTCGGGACACGTGGATCTCCAGGATTTGCCTTTTGTACCCAAGGACTATCATGCGGGCATTGCCAGGGACTCAGAGACCAGTTCCGGAGGACGAGGCTGAGATAGAAGGTACTTCCAGGTTCTGTCGTTTGAATATTGTTGCCAGTGTTTAATAGCGCTAAGTGTGCTCTTGTTGGTGTGTGCGTGTGCGTGTGCGTGTGCGTGTGCGTGTGCGTGTGCGTGTGCGTGTGCGTGTGCGTGTGCGCGTGCGCGTGCGCGTGCGCGTGCGCGTGCGCGTGCGCGTGCGCGTGCGCGTGAGCGTGCGTGTGCGTGTGTGCGTGCGTGCGTGTGCGTGTGCGTGTGCGTGTGCGTGTGCGTGTGCGTGTGCGTGTGCGTGTGCGTGTGCGTGTGCGTGTGCGTGTGCGTGTGCGTGTGCGTGTGCGTGTGCGTGTGCGTGTGCGTGTGCGTGCGCGTGCGCGTGCGCGTGCGCGTGCGCGTGCGCGTGCGCGTGTGCGTGTGCGTGCGCGTGCGCGTGCGCGTGCGCGTGCGCGTGTGCGTGTGCGTGTGCGTGTGCGCGTGTGCGTGTGCGAGCGTGCGCGTGCGCGTGCGCGTGCGCGTGCGCGTGCGCGTGCGCGTGCGCGTGCGCGTGCGCGTGCGCGTGCGCGTGCGCGTGTGCGCGTGTGCGTGTGCGTGTGCGCGTGCGTGTGCGTGTGCGTGTGCGTGTGCGTGTGCGTGTGCGTGTGCGCGTGTGCGTGTGCGTGTGCGTGTGCGTGTGCGTGTGCGTGTGCGTGTGCGTGTGCGTGTGCGTGTGCGTGTGCGTGTGCGTGTGCGTGTGCGTGTGCGTGTGCGTGTGCGTGTGCGTGTGCGTGTGCGTGTGCGTGTGCGTGTGCGTGTGCGTGTGCGTGTGCGTGTGCGTGTGCGTGTGCGTGTGCGTGTGCGTGTGCGTGTGCGTGTGCAGTGTGCGTGTGCGTGTGCGTGTGCGTGTGCAGTGTGCGTGTGCGTGTGCGTGTGCGTGTGCGTGTGCGTGTGTGTGTGTGTGTGTGTGTGTGTGTGTGTGTGTGTGTGTGTGTGTGTGTGTGTGTGTGTGTGTGTGTGTGTGTGTGTGTGTGTGTGTGTGTGTGTGTGTGTGTGTGTGTGTCTGTGTGTGTGTGTGTGTGTGTGTGTCTGTGTTGGCAGCCAAACACAAGGTTGCTGCAACGCGGGCAAATTGGAAAGACGGAAAAAATGATTTGCAAGGAGGACAACCCGCGAGTCTACCTTTTGAAGTCATAATATGGCAACGCGACCAGGGTACCCTCAGAAAGCACACCCATATGTGGATGCTCAGGCCAAGCAGGAGTCTTTGCAACACGACATGGCAGTTTGCGAGATCAAGCTTGAAAGAGCGCTGGCCCCTCAGCACACGCCATGTCCGGGTGGGCTGATCAGGCATTGAAGGGACGGGTGTCGGCCACTCCGGGCCACGCAAGCCTTACCCAGCGGGATGTTGGGGGTTCCGCCAACTTTAACTTCGTTCCAGTTTGATGTGAGTCTTTTGTTGGTGGCGTCACTTTCAAGGGGTCATATTAGGAAGCCCTGTTTATGTTCCGTGTCAAGAAGTCTTTCCCGGCTCGGAGAATAGAAGAACCCGGTGGAGGAGGCAACAGTGGCACGACCAATGAAACAAAGAATGAACCATGAATGAAGACAAAACCTAGAACGAGAGCATCTCAAGCATTTTGAGATGGTGTCGATCAAGGCCATCGCCGGCTAGCGGCTATCGGCTTTAACCACTGGATTGCTTTTGCATGCTTTCCACATGTGACATCATGACTTGCGTGGATTTCCGGCCTAAGGGCAACGCCCAAGCAAGAAAAGACGGCAAAATGAAAGCCCGTGGCAATCTGTCAAAGTATGTTGCCGGATCCTTGGCTGTTCTGAAGAAAACGAGAGTCACTTTGACAACCACCAACGATTGCCTTGGCAATGCATTCCGCGCCAGTAGCTTTGGGCCTTTTCTGCAGGGCAGCTGCTTGCTTTGTGGCCAGCCGAGGCACAAGCTGATTGGTGGCCTGGGGGGTGAAAAGGCCCGGAGATCCGTGATCCGGTTGGAGTCTTTGCTTGAAGACCGAGTGAACCGTGTTTGAAGGGTGGGAAACGCACTGGAACGTAGTGTGATCCGAAAGGAAGTTGAGATGATTTGAGATGGGCACTTAGTTTCGAGTGACCACATGTTCTGTACCAACCAGTACAACGCAGTGCAACGGATTATGCACGCTGGCTTACAAGTTTGGCAACGTACGGTTCGGTTTTCCCGCGCTGCTAATTGATCAAGATGCATTTAGCTTGTTTCGACTCGTTGGGCAGTTTGATTAACTTCACTCGTATGTGTTACCTTGAACGTCATCATTGAACTTCATTGACCTGGCTTGTTCTTTGACCTGCTCTTGTTTGGTGTTGCTGTTTTGAGCAAGCGCTGCTGATGCATTTGAAGGCTCGCTGGGGCGACAACGTTGTCAAGCTCACGGAGCAACTTCAGCTTTTGTGCCTCTGGCATGATTCACTTGGAGAGCGCCTATGTGCCCTAAGCGCAATGTGAGGACCTCCACAGCCACAAATTGTCAAGTCGGACTTGCTTGCCAGAGAATTTGCAGAGGTTAAATGGTACTTAGTGACAACACAAATGAATGTGCAGTATTGGGAAGGCCTGGTGACTGCATCATCGCTGCTGGCATGGTCTCTTATGCTGGGCCCTTTACGCCAGCCTCTCAGAGTTGTCATTTTAGTTCTGTCTCATGCGATGCGCAATACTCTGCCGAAACCTTTTCATGTTTCCCATTGCAAAGCAAACATATTGATAGCAGAGCAGGCGCTTGGCTTCCATAAAACCTGATGGGCGCGGGTTGTGGAAGGACCCTGAGGGATCATGAGTTCCGATGCCGCTGGCATTCCAGTGTCCAATTGTTCATGACATGTTAGGATACTTGCGGCGCAACCTATTCACCTTTAGCGAGAACCCAAAATGGAGCAAGGGTTGAATGGTTGGCGGAATATGTTTTGTATATAGACAGAGCAGATACACGCAGCTATGCATATAGATTATTAATCAGGTGTGGGTGAGTTGTGCCAATACTCAAATTAGGGCTATTCATAAATAGTCTCATCCACGATATCCCGAATCAGACGGCCTCAGTCATTGCCTTTGCTGTTTTTGCTTGCAGGCACTGTTTCGGCTTGCCCTACGTAGCTATTACCGAGCTGAGGTCAGAGTACCGCGCCAATTTTGAGCACGAGTGGCTCAAGGAACTGGACAAAGAGTTCATTGCACACAATGAGGACTTGGGACAAGCAACGCAGTCGCATCTGAGACAAGGTTCGATTCATGGGTTGCTGCCTGACAGGGGATCTAGATCGAACACGCCACCTGCGCATAGCATGTTGGAATTGGTGTGTTGTGTTGTTTTTACGGACAGTTTCTTTTCACTTCCGTAATAATTCTGGTCCCCCTAATATAGACAGTAAGCATTACCAGAACCAAAAGTACTACAGTATAATAGTCCCATTCTAAACCAATACTAAGCTACTGACTTCTCCCACCGACCTCTCCCTCCAGTCGTATTGGGGGACCTGTCGCCCTCAGTCAGGAGGAAGAGCTTTGTTTGCAAGAGATCCAAAACATGAGACCCCCAGTTTCTTTTTCTTGGGAGGGGACTGTTAACAAAAAAGGGGAAAGGGAGAATTGGTGCGCTTGGAGGCAACTTGACTCAAGATTGGGAGTCGGACTATGTCGGGCTGGAACTGTTCGTGCTTGCCGGCGTTTGTCTGTGCGGGCTTGCTTTCGCGCGTCCGTGCAGGGGTGTCTCTGTGTGCGCCTGTGCGCGTATGTCTCGCGTGTTGCATCCAATCGTGCAGCTTCTTGAAAAGCGTAGAGGAGGCCAAATGTCGTGCCTAGTTGTCTCAGACCTCAGGTGCTTTCCCCCAAAGCATCAATCGGGACAAACCAAGATGTAATCCGTTTCTCATGCGAAGGGTCTTTGCAGGGCACAGTTTCACTCGTGGCCAAAAGTGGTCCATTTCTGTGAAAACACGTCGTTTATCTTCTCAGAAACAAGCAAAGCTGCCGAAATTGCAGAAAACAAGCAGTACAGGACGTGTTCACCTGCTTCTCCAAGCTTTCCTGTTTGTTTGCTTCAGAAGACAGGCCGGTAGTTTGTTGTTTGCAGTGCGAGGATCTGCACACTAGACATGAGCTTCCGCTTCCACCCACATGTTCGTTTTTGGCAATTTGAGATTTGAGCCAGGAGTCCATTTTGGAACACTCAACCTGTTGGCCAAACTTTGTCAAGGCATCCTAATTCGACCTTCGCGAACGGGTTGGTGTTCCTTGACTCAGCTCCCGAGCTTCGGGCAGGCGGCATGCCATGTTAGTTCATCGAAGAGCCCATTGATTTTCAAAGCTAGCTGGCCCCCTTTGAGGAGACTAGCTTACTTGGAGGGGTGTGACCACTTTTTGGGCACCGGATGGGTGACATGGCAGGAGTGCAATATGCGCAGTGTCCTCGGAGAGCCGGTGAAGATCCAGCAGTCGCCCAGCTGAATTCCGGTCAGAGGTCACATCAGCTTTGGCTTTGAGGGGGAGCCACCGAACACACCCGGCACGGAGATGATGTAACCGACCGCTTTCTTTGGATGGGTTCGGATGCTTCATGATGCTTTGAGCCGCCGTGTGTTGCCGGGAGTCATTGGTTTGATGAGTTTGCCTTGATGGGCCATCATCGAGTGGCATGCCACGGACCATACTTACAGAGATTGAACGGGGCAAACGAATTGGCGAGCTAGGACACGTTAGCTGGCAAGCAAAAGAAGCAGCTTTACGGACTGCTTGTTTAGACATTTTGTTGCACTCCAGATCGCACGGAATCAGCCAGGTGGGTTGTTTATTCGCTTCCCAACGATGCCCTGTCGATCGAGTGCGGTTCTTAGATAAGGTGCAGGCGCAACTGGCAAGAAGTCTGCCTTGCTCGTACATTGCTGCATTCCAAGGAATGCAATCATCATTGACAGATCCCGCAGATGGCCACTGATGATTGATCCGCAGCGGCAGGCGAGAACCGTGTCAGCTCTCGGTAAAGCCTGTTTAAGGCCTCTGTTATGGTTGTACAGGTTGGAACTTTGTCTTCATAGCAAGTAGAGGCCTGCAAGCATACGGGTCAATCACAGCATCAATAATTGCACAAGGCTTCACTGCAATCCCCACTAGAGGTAGATCCGCCCACTGCCTACTGACCAAAATAGATTTGGGCGCAGCGGACAACGCTTGTTGCAGGCTAACAAGTACATCAAGAACATGGGCAAAGACATCGAGACTGGTTTTGATGCCCCGAGCCAAGATGCAGACGAGACCAAACCAATCCATGCCCACTGCGCTGACGCGAGGTCGGGGCTGTACGGCAATCCTTAAGTCTTTCCTTGGGTTTTGACAGGGGTCTCCTTTTTCAGTTCCCACCGCGTGTCTTTGTCCAGGCGCCCGCCCTATGGAAGGAGACTGGTAGATTTGGCGGATGTTGAATGTGTCAAGCCGGTTTTGCTTGTACCAAGGACCTCAATCTACCAGTTGGTTGGGCCCAGGTCTGCAAGATGAGTGAGACCAACTTCTTGCGGGTCTTGGAGCTCGGGATCCAGTTCGGCAAGTGGATCTTGCGCGGCCCTCGAGTGCGGTACGCGTAAGGTTGGATCTCGGTAACCCCCGGCGTGATCCCCTGGTATGAACGCAGGGTTTCTGAGCATTTTCTGGGCAACCAACCACATGCAAGGACAAGCGCCGCCTCAGTCTTCATGCCTCAAACCTTTCAGTTTGCGCGAAGAGAGGAGGCGTGAAGGTCAGAGGGTCACAGACCCACTTCTCCTTTGTGCCCCACTCCGCCAATTGCGGCAATGTTAATTTTGACTTGACACGGCAATAGCCAGTTGACTCTTTCGACTTTGAGTATGCTGCGGAACCGTAAAGACCTGATTCAGCTGAGAGCTTGCGAGCGTTTCTTTATTGTTGCTTTTGAACTGATCGCTGGACCGATTGTTTGGCTGCCGTGAGATTGTAGCTTGCAGTCGCAAGACAGCTGCGTAGGGCCAGTCCTTGTTCCTTTCTCCAATGAGTCAAGACACTTGCCTTAGAACAAATAGAAACATGGGTGGCTTTTCCTCTAAGAGAGGAAGTCTGACCAGAAGTCCTAGTAAGTCGAATCACACACGCCAGGCTTTTTTTAGGTTATGTACCCAGTCAAAGTGTTTAGCAGTCAATCTGCTGGTGACCTAGGCTGGAGAACATTGGCTTGAGTCTTGACCCTGCTCTTGAACCCATTCTCCAGCAGCAGAAGGTGGGAAGTCGGGCTGTAGTGACGGTCGCTGTCATATTCCGGTGACCATTGGTTCAAATGACCATTCGAATTGGATATTTCTCAGGATGGCTCTTTAACATAGCTTGATCAGTGGCAAGTGGCAAGTGGACATTTTGCATGGGGGCTGATTGTAGAATTGCTTGTTTATTTTTGCCGACATTGACACATTGCAAGGGATCGAGTCATTTTGAAGTACAGCAGAACACACCATGCAGGCCTTTTGCCACACCAACACTTTGAGATGAAATGCATGTTTTGTGCTGTTGTGGGGGGGGGGCAGGGTATACTAGGTGCAACATGTATTAGGCGTTGGTTTCGATTGCTTGCTGCAGGTCAGAGATGGGTCTGGCTACACCATCAAGCTTGGTGACAAGCGGGGATCCTTTGGAGTCCACTTTTCCGTGTGTCATTTCATATCAGTATTTGACACGCGCTTGCCAGCCAGGATTTGTTTTGAAGCCGAGAACCATTCGACTTTACGATCTATAGATAGTGACCGCAAGCACACGAGCAAATTGATCATCGTGTGGCGGCTAGGTCTATCAACTACGCCGACACATTCAAGTTCTTTCTGACAACAACTCTGCAAGGGCCCAAGTTGAGGTGGACTTTATGAGCAGTGTCGACCTGACATTGTGCTGTTTGAAAAGGTCATGGTGTGCTGTGTGCTGTGCCAGTAAAAGGCTATGAGTTTGATCTGGTTGAAGAGGATTGGGGGGCCTGTGGCCGCTTTCTTGTTTTGGGGCCGAGGTTGCGTGTGAGTGGCGCCATGCCGAGGCCAAATCCACACTACTCGCCAGAGACTTCCGTGAAGGCACGGCGCCTCACGACTGGGTGCGGTTGCGGATGCGTGCGGTTTGCGGCTGAGTAGATGGAGGCAGGTCAGATCCGGGTTTATCCTTTGAGAAGCGATCGTTGGCCTTGGAAGGGTGCACACACAAACACAAACACACATGCTAGTCAAAAAGCACCAATGGGAGTTCACTCTTCCTGATTTACCCACTCAATTTTTTGGCTCATGATAGTGCATGCACTGCCAGGTGACTCTCCTGAACTTTGCCATCACTCCAACTGGCTTGGAGGTGGCACACCTCGAAAGCAGTGGGCAAGCAATCGTGTAAAACCGTTTTGGCAAAACTCGATGTGGGCACTGGCTTGTTGCACCCAATTTGCAGTGGTGCATGTCAATTTCAGTTGTGCAGCATCCTCTTTGGATTGTCCAGATGTTCCCAGAGCGAGATGTCAGGACCAGATGCTGGGCATCGTAGTGGCAAAGGAGCGACCTGATTTGGAGGAGCAAAAGAGCCAGCTGGTGCACGACTTACATCAGCATCTCATGCTTAGATTTGCCTGTGGGCTTGAGCTGAATGACCTTCTAGCACCCTAGCTGGCCCATAGACACGCTGCACATGGAGTGGTTGGTTAGTTCTCCATGCAACTCGTATGCAGAGCTCAGGTGAAAGACAATGCCAAAATGAACTTTCAGCTGAAGGAAATTGAGGACGGCTGGCTTGTGGCTGGCTGACTTTGTCCCCTTTTGGATATGGTTTTGCTCTCACCAGGACGAAATTCTTCACTTGCTCTCTGCGAGTGAGGGAGATGTGCTGGAGGATGATACTTTGGCCCAGACACTGAGATCCAGGGATTCAGAAGGGATCCTCAATGCCAGGGCTTCGGCAATCGGAAAGGAAGTACTCTACCACAATGGACCTGCCATTGTCCACATTTGACACATGATGGTATCAAGCTGTTCTTTATGTTTGACAAGTTGCGGGCACGAGACATTGCCACCTTACCCTTTGTCTCTCACCTTTTGTGCACGTCAGGCGAGCTATTGCCAGGTTGCATGCATTGCATGCATCCACAGGTGGTCCAAGTACCATGCCAAGGTGGACAAAGTGACAGCTTCCAAGTCAGTTTCTCTGGAGATCAGCGAAAAGCAAGAGGCGAGGTCGCGTGTTGTTTGGGAGCTGCTTTTCATATAATCTACTGAATGAAAGAGACACCAAAGGGAAACCAACCAACCATGTCAGGTCCCCCCCTCAATTAGATCAAACCCCACCTAGCAGGCTCATGCAGCTAGGGGTTGCTATGCTCCCACCCCAATGAGAGCCTGGCTGTCAGCTGGCGCACAGGAATGTTACCTAGGCAATGCCCTTGCAAAAGTCTCTCTGACTCTCAGTCCTGTGGTACTTCAATCCCTAGCGTATATGCCTGTCTTTCACACTTAGCTTCCTTGGTTTACCCGCGCCAACATATTCCCGCGTTTGCAAAAGGACGGTTCGTTGCTGACATCGGTCGTGCGCCTGGCTGATTTCTCAATATTTGTTCTAGCATTGCAACTTCTAGAGAAGCTTTGCTCTGACTACTATCCGCCGCAGATTGTATATGTGAGCTTTCAAGGCTCAGACATATCTAGATTGCTCGAGTGAAAATTGTTCTGAAATTTTCAACCAACCCCAAAGAGGGTGCCCAGCCTCAAGACGCAACTGCTATGATTGATGACCCTCCAACATGGTTGTCATGAATCCCCCTGTACACGAGAAGGTCGACCCAATCAAGGAGTCAAGTCCATGTTGCTTTGCCCGCGTAGAGAAGATCGAGCAGGTGGCCAAAGTCACGGAGGTTGACATTGACAATGCCCGCGAGCTCGCCTCCCAGTCAACGGACATGTCAAACCAAGCCCCCACTTCGGGGGCGCTACATTGCGCACAGGATTTTTTCTGTATGACCTTAGGGGTTTGCTGCCAATGGTATAGAAGAGTGACTTGCACCATTGAGTGAGTGCACTGGGAGGAAGGTTTCATGTTTGTTTCGTGGTTTGTTGCAAACAGGTCAGCCCAGCGGTCAGGGTTCTGCAAGATCGCCGTCGTTAGAATGTGTTTGAGGCTTTGAGTGGCAGATGTGTGGCTTGTATCCTGCCACTCGTAGCCGCAGTTGTCTCCCTCGAAACAAACCGGCGATCGCAACAATGAGTGCAGTTCTCCGAAGCGTATCATCATGTGACTGCCATGAATATGATTTTGCGTTAGACATATGTGTGTGCTTCCTCCATCATGTTGCTGCAGAAGAAAAGGAGCAGCGAGGTCTGTGTGGGCCTTGTGTCTTTTGCCCAGGTCATACCGCCCGGTGGCATACAGGACTGCTGTGCTGTTCTTCGGCATCGTGGCTTGGCAGCCAGGAACTAGTCTTTTGCAGCATGCCCGGGTCGTTTTCACGCTGCCTTTTCAGAGCCCGACATGTTGCAGGGTTGCCTTTGTGAGGAGACTTGTGTGTCACTGGCTTGCGCATAATATGCAAGTCGGAGAAGTGTGCTCAACACACGGGGTATCAGCAATGTCCGCCCTAGGTGGAGCTGGCAAACATTGACCCCATGTACCAGTACAGCTTACAGTGGCTTCTTGGCGTCCATTCCCACATCGATTTGCAGCAAGAGCCATATCGGGCAGTCACTGGCACATGCGGACAGAAGGAAGCAGGAAACGGGTGGCTATAGGTCAGAGGGATGTGGCCATGCCGCTGGTTTCTTTGGTCATCCTTGACGCTCCCATGGAGTCCAGCTATGGCTTCCAATACCTTGAAAGGGTCCCCGCGTCCGAGAGATGGGAGCGGTGTCCCGCTGTGCCTGTGTTTTGGCGTCCCGGTGTTGTCCCTGTCGTCCCTTGCCTTTTCTATTGTTTGGCTTGAAAAATGAACCGCCCCCCTACACCTGAATTTGGGCTGGAAGCTTGCACATTTCTCATGGTTAACTTTGCACTGTCGCTCTTGCAGAGCTATTTGCCTTGCAGGCTCTTTTCCGTTTTCGGACTCCCTGTGGTGGTTTGGTGATGTCCCGGCTTTGTTCGTGGTGTTTCGCCGCTGTCCCCATCCCAATTGTCTCGGTGGTCTCGGCAATGTTCCGGTGGCGTCCTGACCGGTCCCTGTGGAGTTCTGGTAACGCGGTGGTGTTTGAGTGGTGTTCCTGTCATGTCCCGTGGTATCCCGTGGTGGTGTCGCGGTCTGTGATGTGTTTCGGCGTGCAAAAAGGCCAGTGAGACTTCGGGCACAGTGGTGTCACTAGTGGGGTGGTTGGCTAATTTTTTGTCCTTGGAGTTTCTCAAAATGTACAGGGGCCTGTTATGAAATCTACTGTTCATGGGATTGTGCAGGTTTCAGCAGCTCTTCCAATTGGCGGTGGATCAGTCGCCAAAAGCTGATGTGCTGGAGGACGCATGCGAGCAAGGAAGCAATGAGGCACCAGGTTTCAAGGTAGTAGCCTTTGCCTGGAGTGGCTCGGGCAACAAGGTGATTGTTTGATGGCTGGGAAGACTAAACTCAAGGCAAAAGCAAAGTTGAACTCATTTTCAGGGCTTTGGCTCAGTATTTACACTGTCATCCGTGGTTTAACCTTGAGGCGGCAAGGTCACCCTGGTGCACCTGCAAAGGGCAGTCCTGACATTCATTCTTGACTACCAAATTGTAGCTGCAAAGTAGTGCCTGAGCCCTAGATGTTCAATTGCTTCCTTGATTTGAATGATAAGCAACGGGAGCCCCGTTTGTCGCTGGCAATTGAGCAACTAGGCCAGTCCTGCTTCATCGATGAATGAGGTGCACACAAATCTTCAACCACCACTTGGGCACGAACCAAACCACAAAATGACTTTCACACCTGTTCAGATTCTAAGCGCCGGCCTTGGCGAAGTTCCGTGATTGTGGACATTTCGTGCGAGGATTTGTGGGTTGAGGTTTTGCAGTCCCTATCGAACTTGGTAGTGCGGGACACCATGCACAGCAAAGCACTTGTTTGTAGCAACGGCAGGGGACTTCGCGAATGTTGTTGTCATTAGCCGTTGTTTGCATTTAGATGAAATTAAATTATGGATTGCAAGGGAGCGAAGCCGCCAATTCCATGTTGTGGAATTGAGCTCATTGCAAAAAAACTTGTGGGATCCCTTGCTAGTTTGACACGTTGACCGTGCACTTAGATGAGGAGCATCCTCACCAATGGTTGGTGGGCACGTGCAAACTTCTAGGTCCGGTTCTGCGAAAGGGTCCCCAATCAAGATTCTAAGGGATCCTCCAAGATGGGCTTGCAATTGCTCTCCCTTGACAACAACTCCAGGGTATCCTGTTTTCTTCAGTCAATCCCGGCCCAATAGGAGCGACTGGAGATCTTGCAGGCCTGGGCCACAGCTCGAGTCGAGTTTGGTTTGGGTTGGGGTTGGGCTGTGTTGGGTTGGTTTGGGTTGGCTGGCTTGTGTCGAGGGTTGTTGTGGCAAGGTTCAGTATGGGTCTATGAAAGTTTGGTTTGGTCATGTTTGGTCTGGTTTGGGTGAAGCTGGAAAGGGCGAAGTCTGTATTGCTGATCATGTTTAATTCTAATTGGTGCAAGTTAGTCAGATCCCTGAATCTAGTTTGATGTGTATTCCATTCGCCATCCCAGTGATTCCGCGTGTTCTCGTGATGGCCGAGCAACTGAAACCAATCATAGGTGATCCATCGATATAAGTGACGCTGAGGACTTCTTCACCGAGTCGCTGTACCAAAACGTTTGCCTTGGGCCTAGTGCCCTGCAAATGCTTCCAGAGGTATGTCCCACTTGGGGCAGTATCGGTGGCCTGTTGATGTCCGGAGAAAGGGCTATGAGTTTTGCTTGGTGACTTTTTGGGTGGACGTCAAATTTAGGTAGGGGTTGATGTACCAGCCGTTTTTTTGGTGTTCCCTCTCTAAGGTCTCAGCCTATTTGTTACTTATGTTAACGGGCAAATGGCAAAGACAGCCCAGAGGGACAGGGCCAACTATTTGACCTGCACACCCTTAGCGGTGAGGCCTGAAATTCAAGTGGCCACTGAAAAAACGCCGTTTTTGCGCTAACGACTCCAAGGTCGAGGACTCTTCGAGAAGGACAAGACCCTTTTCTCCTTTGCGCTGTGCATCCGAATCATGAAAGGCCCGCACCTGACTGAGCGCTGAGGAAGGCTGCATCGAGCAAGGTCCAAGGCTGTTTGCGTTTGCCCATTTCAATCATTGCTTTGCCTTGCGTTGCTCAAGAGTCCAAGTTTTTTGCTAGTGGAGCTCGTAGACTCTTAGTGTTCATGGCCTCGCCGCTCAACGAACTTCTCCGGTGACTTGCGCGATGGCTGGGAGAGGGCCAATCAAATGCATGGCCTGTCCGGACTACGAGAGTGCGGACAGGGAGGCGTACCGAGAACATTGTGCCACAAAGTGGCATCAGCACAACACGAATGAGAGGATGATGGGAAGGCCAAGTCTCACTGAGGAGGAGTACCTGGCAAAGATTGCGCCGCCACCGGAGCCGGTGGCGGAACCAGCTCCGCCACCTGAGGACCTGGAGACTAGCGCCGAGGCTACGGTGGCGGTTTGCGTTGTCTTTAACTGGCGCGAGGAGAAGTGGAGCCAGCAATTCAGGGTCCCAAAAGGAACCACGGTCATGGACTTGAAGAAGATGATAGTGAAACCCACAAGCCCGCAGGACGACGTGCTGAAGTTCAGCCTGAAGAGAGGCATGGTTAGGCCATCCCACTTTGAAGCGCTTGATGAGGATGAGACCTTCGACTTCCACTGGGCAGGCCTCGAGGAGGGCAAGACCTTGTTGGAGAGGGATGAGCGACGCCGGCGCGAGGAGGAGTCATGGCGCCAGTGACAGGCGATCCCAAGCGCGGCTTGGGTTTGCCCCCTGTCGGGGCATAACGATTGTGGGTTGTTCCATCATTCTGCTTTCTCCCAAGCCAGCGCTGCTGATTCAGTGGCTAAAAATTGCCATTGTTTTCCGGCCACAGTGGCCGCGGTGGGCGAAGCAAGCGACAGGAGAAAAGAAAGCTAAACCCCACGGTGAAATGAAAAAGTCAAAGGTTTTGTGAAACTTTGGGAGGTCAATGTTGTGGGGGTCGTGGCTTCGTTTTGTAGATTTAGAGGGAGTCAAACGTGATCCAAAGGCGGCGCCCTTGTTGTTGCTCTTTGGGCTGCTCACTTCGAGCAGCCCAAAGTCAGGTCTGAACCCAGTCCAACTTCAGTCTGATATCAGTCTGATATCAGCTACTTGGGGGGACATGGGTGAGGGTATGTGAGGGTCTCGATGCGGCCAATCTTTGTGCTTCTGTCATAGTGGGCCCAAATCGGAATCCCCCTTGTATCTTGTAGTGATTCGGTACAGTGGGCTTGTGGTTGAGATTGAGGTTTGCAAGTGGCATGGGGCAACGGGTGCAGTTTGGGTTCGGCTTGCTTCCCTCCTTGCAGGTTAGCAGTGCTGGTTGTAGCTAAATTGCAAAGGACGAAAGCACGTTGCACTTCAATCTTGCCTGTCAGAGATGTGCCATTCAAAAATTGTCCCCCAATCGCACCCGTCACTTCAAGATCCGAGACTCTGATTTTTCTTGGCGGCCAAGCGAGCGTCTCGTTTCTTGTTTAGTAAAATGTCTTAACGCACTCAATGCCCATAGGTGGCCCATAGGCACTGTTCCATGGTTTCCCCGTGCTTTCCGTTAAAAGGACAATAAAAGAGGATTCTTACACAAACTCACAGCTGTACACATGGGTACTGTGCTCATGACAGGTGATAAGCGCGTGGACGATGCAGAGCTCCGGTACTTGCTGGTGGGGCCCACTGCCGACTTGCTGGAGCAGGGCCCGGCGAAACTCGGCTAAGAGTGTTTCTGCCCCTGGCCAACGTAGAAGAGCTAGCGAGGAAAGGTTGACCTAGGAATAAACCCGTCCTATCAATCGGGGGTGTTCCCCTCAAGTCGTGAAGAATCCTCACTAAAAAGGGGACACCGCTATTAATCAACCAGAGGTGCATTCATCCGCCCAATAACTATACCGTTGACAGGCTAACATTGCTTGGGGAGAAACAGCGTAAATGGACATGATCCATAAATGAGCGCGCACTGGCTTCACTTTGGATTCTAAGATCCCTTTGCACGTGTGTGTGTGTGTGTCTGTGTGCTCGTTTTGTTTGCCTGCCTGGCTGCCTGGCTGTCTGTTTGTTTGTCTGCCTGCCTGCCTGTTTGTCTGTTTGTCTGTTTGTCTGTTTGTCTGTTTGTCTGTTTGTCTGTTTGTCTGTTTGTCTGTTTGTCTGTCTATTTGTCTGTCTGTCTGTTTGTCTGTTTGTTTGTCTGTCTGTTTGTCTGTTTGTCTGTTTGTCTGTCTGTCTGTCTGTCTGTCTGTCTGTTTGTCTGTCTGTCTGTCTGCCTGTCTGTGTGTCTGTTTTTTTGTCTTTTTGTCTTTTTGTCTCTTTGTATTTTTGTCTTTTTGTCTGTTTGTCTGTTTGTCTGTTTGTCCGTCTATTTGTCTGTCTGTTTGTCTGTCTGTTTGTCTGTTTGTCTGCCTGTCTGTTTGTCTCTCTGTCTGTTTGTCTGTTTGTCTGTCTATTTGTCTGTCTGTTTGTCTGTCTGTTTGTCTGTTTGTCTGCCTGTCTGTTTGTCTCTCTGTCTGTTTGTCTGTTTGTCTGTCTATTTGTCTGTCTGTTTGTCTGTCTGTTTGTCTGTTTGTCTGCCTGTCTGTTTGTCTCTCTGTCTGTTTGTCTGTTTGTCTGTCTATTTGTCTGTCTGTTTGTCTGTCTGTTTGTCTGTTTGTCTGCCTGTCTGTTTGTCTCTCTGTCTGTTTGTCTGTTTGTCTGTCTATTTGTCTGTCTGTTTGTCTGTCTGTTTGTCTGTTTGTCTGCCTGTCTGTTTGTCTCTCTGTCTGTTTGTCTGTTTGTCTGTCTATTTGTCTGTCTGTTTGTCTGTCTGTTTGTCTGTTTGTCTGCCTGTCTGTTTGTCTCTCTGTGTGTTTGTCTGTTTGTCTGTCTATTTGTCTGTCTGTTTGTCTGTCTGTTTGTCTGTTTGTCTGCCTGTCTGTTTGTCTCTCTGTCTGTTTGTCTGAGTTTCTGTGTTTGGCTCTCTGTTGATTGTTTACTTATTCATTGTTTATGTTTCTGCAGCTAGCTTATTCAAAGCCCTTGGTGAGGGGTGATGGGATTACATATGTCTTTTGAGCGGGAATGGCCCGGACAGGCGTGGACCTCAAAACTGTTGTTTTCATGTTGTTCTAATCCGTCATATCTTGTTTAGCCGGAAACTGCAGGATGCCCGCCGAGTGGGTGGTTGCCTTAGTTTGGGGTCTGAGCTGCATGCTGCTTTCTTAGCCAAGCTAGATGCGAATTCGGTATGCGCGAAGACAAGGGACCCCGTTGTGGTCCTCGTTCCAAGGAAGCCCATAAGCCAGGTATGACCGCGACTTGAACGATCACCTAATGTTCTTGCCCGATTCATTTGGACATTGACAGGTGGATGTAGATTGCTAGAGTCAGCTTGCACCCCGATGAGGGTGGTGTTGCCGCAAATCACGGAACAACAATCACATGTGAGCCAATCAGTTTGAGAAGAGGTGGCTCAAGGCATTGGCAAACGTCGCTACTTGCTGAGCACAGCTCTGACATCGGCGTCGGCATAAGGTGGGACCGCAGAGATGGAACGAGATTCTCACCGTATCAAAGCTGCCTGCATTCAAGGGCGCCTCGGCAGCGTGTAAACTGTGTTTTTTTTCAGTTCTTGCTGTTGAAGTCAGCACACTAGTTCTGTGGCCGAAGGGTTGCTTAGACTGCCCCAGCTAAATACTACTTGTGTTGAATGTGTGTGTGTGTGTGGGCGTGCGTGTATCATGCATGATCCTTGCACATGCAGACATGTATATTGTGTTTTCAGTAAACGCATGGTCACACGGTACTGTATGGTGAATCTCAACCATGCGTAGCCTGCCGCACCTATCAGCTACTTTCAGTTCGAGGCAGTAATCTTAGAGGAAGGCAGTGTATTGTTCGGATGTCACGTCCATGGAAGTTGGTTCGGAAAGGGACCGTTTGTTCCACCGCGCGGTGAGCCCTTTGGACATGGTCCGATTCCGCCTGCCTCGGCAAGCTCCTAGGATTTGCGAACTTCATGGCGTCGAATCTGGAGGAGCGCGGCGGAGAGCGCAATTCGCGGAAGATCGACTTCGTGGAGAAATGGCACGAAGAAATGCGAATTTCAGGGTGGAAGGCGCACCAAAGATAGGTCCGAGTGAAGTTCCAAGCCAAGTCATCACGGGAATATGTGGGAAGGATGGCACGCTGCCGCTTTGTCAGATGTCCATGCTTGGTCCAGGTGCAGTGTGTGTGTATGCACGAAATCAACTGATTATGCCGCGCAGTGTTTGGATGAGTTGTCACGAGAGTAGCATTTGTTTGTTTTTTTGTGTGATTCTTGGTGTGTTTGCTCACTTTGAGGGCTCTCACCGCTTTGATATGGTTGTCAATAGAGATCCTGATGGTTGAGTCGGTGCACTGTTGTGACTACCGCAAGTCCCTTTCTTTTTCGCTCTCTGTCTCTCTCTCTCTCGTTGTGCACGGATGTCCTTCCTATAAAGCCATCATGGAAGTGCTTTGAAAGCTCGTACCGCAGTTCATTCGAGGACAGCTTGAAGCAGATTGACCTGGGACAGGTCAGACATGGTCCATGGGACTTGACCAGTGGACTGTTTCTAGGGTTCAAACTGAGAGCGCCGCAGGAGTTTAAGCAGATCTATGACTCCGTCGAAGCCGAGAAGGCGACGGGCCGGAGCTCAAGCGCTTGGAAAGCAAAGAAGCGGTTGAGGCGGCAAGTAAGCACTCACAGTTGGCTCCGTCTGTTTCGTCCATCGCTTGCTTGCCTCTTTCTGCAGCTCAAAACCATTGCTTCACAGGAACACAATGGAGAACTCCGTGGTTGCCTCCGCCAAAGCAAATCACTTGGCTGCCTGAACCAGAGTTTGCCTACAGTTGCATGTTTGTGAGCACTCCTGATTGACATTATTCCACTCATACCAAACATTGCTTGTAGCAGGGCCATTACGAGCAGTGTCTTCGTGCCAGTCACCTTTGTGTGGTCCGAGTTTGTGTTATGTTGGGAGAAAGTGCTGGAAACAGGCACCAATCTAAGGGCCACAACAGCGACGAGACGGCCCACAAACATTACTTGTTCATAGAGTTAGGGAAGCTGGTGCTTGACGTGTGTATATTGTATGCATTCCTGACTTTGAGTGTTTACAAAAATCAAGGAGCACCCGGCCTGACGAAGCGCCGGGGGTTGATTAGGTGGCCCATGTTGGACTCTTCGCTCGGGTGTTGGAGACCAGCGTTTGCAGGTCCCCAGCTACTGGGATCCCTTTGGAAGGTCTCCCTGCCGTCTACACGTTCTTTGTTTGCCGTTTCTTTCTTAAATATGTGTATACAAATACGTATATTTATATAGATATTATTGAAGCGCAGGCCTTTGTGAAACAAAACAGGAGAGGTCATTCAACAGCCAGGAGTTGCTGCCTGGGCCGTGGGAGAAGAAGCCACGGCCTTCAGAACCGAAGTCACACCGTGACGGCTGTGCCGAAAGCGAGCCATGGGGTAAAATGAGCTAACCCCAAGTCCCTCAGTGGATCACTTTCAGCCGGGTGGATTCCCCCGCCAGTTGTGATTCACGTGGAGCGGTTTACTCATCCCAAGAGGACTGTACGGGCTAACTAATTGCGCTTCCAATCACGTGGAAAGGTCCATTCGAGGCGGAGCCAAGCTAGTCATGTAACGGAATTTGCATCAGCTGGACAATTGCTGTTTGAAAGGAGGAGGCCAGCGGAAGATACAGGTTAAATAATTAGCGGTCAACCTTGGCAGACAAGAGATAAGCAAATGCAGCTGCGCCGTACTTCCTTGTACGGCTAGAGCTGTTTTTGTGTGCAACAGCTGGAGCACTGCCGTGTTGTACGCTTGGCCAGACACTAAAGATGACAGCTTTTCAATGTTGCTCCTCGATGGAGCTTGATCTTGTATTTCCTGGCAGGTTGCAGTGTGCTCACGCAGTGCAACTGCACTGCCACCTCCCAGCAAGCAATGATTGAAGGCCATGTTCAGTGGAGCAGAATGATTGGCTTAACAAACGACAAGGAAGCAATCAACACGAGACGGTTCACCAAGTTCTTGCATTTGTCCATTTGCAGTTTTGGAGAACTGGTTGTTGTTGATGAGCTGCTCCGAGGTTGACTCCAATGCAGCGCCTTTGCACTGCTCGCGTGTTTTCAGTCGGATTCCTGCTGACTTGGTTGAACTCTGAGGTTGAATCCCTGCTTGAGCTGCCAGGATTCGACGGCAAATCCAAACCATCAAACCGTTGTGAGATATGACTTGTGCATTGAATTTACATTTGTCGGTTGCAAGTCTGAACAAGCTTGACTGTGAGATGGTATTTGGCAGCTTGTTGAGAGGCACCACATATGTTTCAGAAGAACATTCCTACCAGCAACTGCTCAATTGCTCTATCCTCTGTTTGGAGCAAGACACTTCTCCTCAAAGCGCTTCCGGACTTTTGGTCTGAGAGATTTGACTGGGACAGTCTTGCATTGGAGTTGAAGGGGTGCTGAATAGTCGATCCTGGACGAGTAATTCTTGAGGGATGATGTGCCATGCAGGTTCTCAAATGAGAAAATGCAGGAGCTTGTTGCTCATGCAAACTCCCCGACAGTTTTGCATTGATTTGTGTTCTCTAGGCGCGGCACGGCCCTACTATTTGATGACTGCCTTGGCCACATTTTATGGGGATGCACGTTTGATTGCATGCCGCCCTGACGAATCCGTCGGTCGAAGCATTTTGGGTTGCATTCTGTGAGGGCCCAAGGCAAGTGAGCGCAGTGAGTCCATGTGCTTTGCATCGGCCGCAGCTTTGGCTAAGCTTTGCAGCCAAATTGAATGTGAGCCATGATTCAATACCGTTTTGCCTAGGTTGGTAATGGGCACTCCAGAACAGGCAGTTTAGCCGTTGCATTAACGGTGTGGATATCCGTTTGCCCATCATTTGTTTGGATATCCATCCGATTCACACGCATGATTACCTGGCAAGTCCCTTGAACCGGCCGTCCGTCCGCAGTGTTCTGAGCTTCCGTCCGTCATGCCATGTTTCCATATATGTTTCCATATATGTTTCCATGAGTCTTGCCACTTGCTGAAAGGTTCCCTGCCCAGCGCAGCCAAAGGCCAGGTCTGTCGGCGCTTATGGCATGCAGATCTGTCCCTGGGAGACCCAGATCTCGCGGATTCGGTTCCCACAGATCCCAAGGCCGCGACAGCGGCCTTGGCCGAGGCTGAGGCAGGGCAGTGATCAATTTTTCTCGAACGAGCAGGGAACAAAAAATGCACCCAGGCCATTCGGCATGGAAGACAGGGCCATATTTTTGAGGCCATGCACGGTGTGCCTTCGCTGTTTACCCGCTTTGGCGTGATTTTCCCAGGATCTGCAGTGGTGGGAAGTTTGAAACAGGGAATGACCCCGGTTTTGGTTGGGGCTTCGAAGCGGCAGGTAGTGTGCTATTGATTGCACGGCCTGCAGTCAAGAGATCTTTTTCCAGGCCTCTTTGCTCCTCTCAGCACTTGTTTCAAGTTGGAGCTGCCCCAACCTCTCCGGGCAAGTCTGGAGGCCCGGGAGGCGAAGTTCCTCCTCCCCTTGGGCTTGCGGCTTAGGCGTGACCATAGGGAACAGGGTGTGGTAATTTGTGTGCCGCTCTCAAAAGGGTCTGACAAACAAGAGGGAGAGATGATGTCAGATGTCTGAGAAATGTGCAACTGACAGATTGAACGTTTGCGTTTGGGAATTGAGGCGGACAAAAGGGACATGTGAATGCTATTGCGATTTGATCAAGAGGCAGTGTGGATGGGCGCGATGACTTGGCACGTGTTTGGATTACGCACGTGTCACATCAAGTGCAGGCATGTATCAAGTGCAGGACTCATTGTGTACGTGCTGGTAGGTTTCTCTTCAGTTGTTCGACTTTATGCAGAACTTCTGGTAGACGCAATGGCAAGGCGAAGCCAAGCAGCTGCAAAGTGGACTGGCAGTATGTGCTGATGTTGTTTTGACTCGAAGCTTTCCAAAATCGAACTTGCATATCTTTGGTGGTTTGATTGTTGTCGCCGAGCAGTCCAATCGCTGAAATACCATATTTGCCAGGTATGATAAACATCAGCGACATGTCGCGCAGATGTCTTCAATGAAAGAGATAGGCCTAGATCCTTTGGGACTAACATGCATTACGCATTCCTGTGCAAATGTCATTTCAATCCTTCAAGACGCATTCAAGTGCATTACTCTTGCAACACAATGTTGCCATGAGACTTGATGTGCCGCAAATTCGACTGCCTTTCTACAGCACATTTAGAGTCGTAATGATGTGCTAGCACTTTGCAAGTCTATGCATGCAAGCTGTCAAAGCTGCTTAAGATTCCTGGCATGGTGTTTGTGTGTTTTACAGGGCGCGATGCTCCTGTCTACTAATTTGCGCGAGGTCATTTGGGAAGGGGGTGTGCCATTTTATGGCGCAAGAGGTGCCCATAGGCAGTCAGGCAGCTTGCAATTTTGCAGCAACTTGCGCGGGAGCTTTTTTTTAAAGTGTTTTTCGCAGTTACCTCAGTGAAGGTGAGTCAAAACATTGGCCACTCTTTTTTGCAGCTACGAACCCTGGCTTGACCTCTCCGGTTACGACTACGCTTCGATTATTTCTAAAGTTAGTATTCCAGGGTGACAAACCAGCCGTAGAACAAAAGTCAGCACGCAAATGGCCAGGAACACCCGGAACACCGCATAAACTTTGGAATCGCAAGAACGCCGATTTCCCAGCCCCTTGGCATATTCGCCCTGCTGCGCGCGCTTGTCTGCAAGGAGCCGATTTGGGGGGGATCGTTTGGAAGTGTACTCGCAGGCACCCCGACCTTCTAAAAGGCTTGATTAACCAGCCCAACGCTAGCCCGACATATAAGAACACACACATACTGGATGCGCCAAATTACCTGCTGGCTGAACTAGGCATGAAGATAATGAGCGCTGCGCGTTCCAAATTTGTCGAGCGCCTGGGAAAGGGAGTTCTAAGGACAGAATAAGGTAGCGCTCGGTTTGCGCTAGACAGAGTTTGCAGAATGTTGAATGGTTCTCGCGGCCTGTAAGTTGCACGCCTCATGCGACTCTACCAAATGTTCCATGATGCGCCGCGGCCTGTGATGGGGTCGCGGCTGCTGCTGCAAGTTGCAACATGTTGGCCCTCTTAGTGACCTCGCTCCAGGCAGCTTACGCAACATTCGGAAGGCATGCTTGCGTGTCCACCGTGATGCCAATCACATTCGAATATCCGCTCTGAACATGGAGGACGCAAAATGCGAACGCAATAGATGGCGGCGCTCCCTCAAATTAGCGGGCTCAAGGGCAGCAACGCGCTCAGAAACAAGTTGGTATGATGATTTTGGGACTGTTGCGCGTCGCAAAGATTTGCAGCAGGGCACTCCAGGTGTTCTATCCTGCAACTTTCTTTGTGCTTCAGCTGGGCGCTCGCTACGCCATAGTCCGCATATCTGGTTGGAGAACTGCGAGAGCGGATTTTCCGGTTTAGGCCAAAGCGATGTTTGATAGGGCTCGCGACAAATATGGCGCTATCAGCAAACTTCAGAGCAGCCAGCTAGCCAACGAGTGCCACGGGCAAACAAGTGAATGGCCAGTGGCCGCGAAAGCCTTCGCGTTAAATTACGCTCACCCGCGCTCGCAAACGGCTAGATGCTGAGATGGCAACTTACCCCGCCACGTATGGCGTGTGCTACAGTCCCATTTGCCATCCTTGAGCTCAAGTAGATGGCACACGTCTCTCTACGTCGGCTAGCAGGGAGAGTGACACATAATCACATCGGCTACTTGCGCCTCATTCTTTGCGCCGCAATACGCCAAACTGATTGGATTGCGTGTTTGAATGCACTCCTTTTTCACAAGCCCGCTGAAGCTTATTGCTTATGCGTTGCTTCAACGCGCTTTCCTTGCACCTCTCTGCGAACGCAGCTTCTAAAAAGAACCGAACGCGGCTAAACCTACCTTGCCACGAACTATCTATCAACCAGGACTTCCCAAGACTGAGCCTTGTTTAGGCAGATCCTTACGCTGAGCCAGCTCCAACAGTGCTTAGCGATAGCCTGGCGCAACGAACACACGTTGAGCGCGCTCGCGTGGCCCAGCCTGACCACATGGCTGATTTCCAAACAAGTAGGCCGCAAGCAGACCCGCAACTTTGCACGCAGGCACGCAACCACACACGTAGCACACAAACACACACACACACACACACCACACACCACACACACACACACACGCACTCACACACCTGTTTCTACATGTACACACATGCATATGACTGTGTAGATCTGTATTTTGTTTCTTAGGAACACATGCGCACAGAATGCGCTACGCGTGTGCACATGGGCTTGAAACAACTACACACACAACATCCGCAAACACAAAAAACGCACGGCGTAATCACAAACAGCGCGCGCGTAACACACGAGGCGCAGTGAAACTAGCGTAAACCGCAGAAAGTACACGCGCAAATGAAAACGTTGCGCGTTGCAACGAGCGTTGCACTCGCCCGCATATATACACATGTTTCTTATAACACACGCACACACACACACAAACATACGAGCGTGAGTGCGTGCACCAGCAAAGCGCATTCGCACACAGGCACCATATGCACCATACACGCGGAGAACTAAAAGATGCATCAAACATGCACACAACCAAACACACAGCCCACACAACTAACACTTCCGCCTAACATGCGCGCACTGCATACGACACGCACGTCCGCCACACAAGCAAACGCAAAGCACACCCACAGGCAAATTTAAGAAAATATAAAGCGCACATATACAAGCAATGGCAAAGCAAACAATCATGTGTTTTCTCAAGCGCATGTCAACTTGCAAGCGATTGCCATACGAATACACACGCAAGCAAGATGCGTGCGAATGAATAACAACTAGTATACCCATGTCCAAATACATAGCCTGCGTTCATAGAATGTACATACTTCGGGCGTATCATGCACACACACACGCGCAAATAAATGGCAAGCGCGCAAACACAGAGACACTCAGAATGTCTGCAACATACAGCCGATACCTACAGCACACACACACACATATACCGCATTCAGGGGCAAGTGATGGGGCGAGATTTGCGCCTATTGTAATCTGCATAT